ATATAGCTCCCAAAGATCTAAGTAAAAGAATAAAATTAGTTATATACTATACTAAATTTAATACCACCAACATACTTGTCCAAAACAATTCTTCTCCGCCAACTAGCCTCTTACAAAAGGCCAGCATTGTATATCAGTTTAAATGTTCTTTAGGAGATTGTATCTTTAAGAAAAATGTTAATAAGAACGTTGGCTTTACTACGACGATGCTAACATTTCATTTGGCTGATAATAGTTCCATATCTTAGCATTTAATGGCACACTAATGCCCACACTCACAGATTAGACGGATATTATTTGAAAACACATGTATATTACATAAAAACAATAATAAGCAATGACTAAAAATCGTTGAAGCCCTTTATATAAGACAATTAAAGCCCCAAATGAATATAACAACAATGTCCTTAAATGCTTATAAAAATATCACATATGCATGAACAAAAATGAAAAAAGTTACTTGCCTTATACTGGATAAAAAAGAAAACAACCCCCAAAACAGGTGAACTTTGAAATTTGAAATTTAGAACTCTGCGTCAGCAGTAAAAACGAAGAGTTGAAAAGTTTTGAATTGATAGAAACACACATATATACTCACCGACAACTTAACCCCCTGAAGATGGTCTCAGATGAGATTGAAAGTAGTTTGACAGTATTTGAAAGAAAATTTTGGTTTTTTTTTTAATCAATTTTCTAAGTCTACCAAGAATTTAATCCACGAACTTGAAAGGATTACAACGAAAACTAGTCGAGATAGTAGGTCTAAATTATTTAACCGAAACTATTTGAATATATATATATATATATATATATATATATATATATATATATATATATATATATATAGTGGGGAAATAAATATTTTGGTACACATACAAATTTTTATTGGATTGTATTTCAAACGAATGAATAAACATATTTTCATATAATTAACTAACACAGATACATTATAACTAAATATGCACCGAAAACAGAAAAAAAAAAACTTAATAGAAATAAATCCCATTTTTCATTTTAATGTGTGAAAAAAGTATGCGTATAATGCAAATTTCAGATTTTAAAACTTTTAAATTGCGTTAATACTCTAGATTATTCACGTGAAATATTCTAGAATGTTCCTATAATGTTATCAGTAGTTCATTTAGGCTAAAAAATACAAACAGAACATTTTATAATAGATATTCGTGCAAGAAGTTTATCATCATGGCAAGAGATAAACAATTGACAAATTCACAAAAAGAACTTTTTGTTAAGACCTAGAAAGAAGGTAAAATTTGCAGGAAAATCTCAGACAATCTGAATATTCCATTTACAAGCATCAATGCATTCACTGCAAAGTAAACAAAGCTCAAACTGTTGAAAACCAAAGAAGAACGGGTGCTTCAAGGAAGATTTCTTCAAGATATTTGAGTAAATTATTGGGTCATATTAAAAAAACATCCAATGGTTATTCGTCATATACAGTGTAACCCGGATATAAGAGATTTGTCGGGACAGGAGAAGAAGTCTCTTATATCCGGGTTTCTCTTATATCCGGGTTTGGTCTAATTTATATACATTAACACAGGCTCTAATTTGGGACCAGAGGAAATCTCTCTTATATCCGGGTTTCTCTTATGTCCGGGTCTCTTATATCCGGGTTACATTATATATATATATATATATATATATATATATAAAAGAGAGCGAAAGAGTAAAGAGTGTTGTTTTTTTACATCAACATATATATTGAACAAGTTTTATTGAACAAACGACAAGTTCTGACTTCTTCATCTTTTATTATTAAAAATAAACCAACAGGCCTAGTCGTTTCCTTTTTTCTATATACAAACACACACACACACACACACACATATATATATATATATATATATATATATATATATATATATATATATATATATATGTATATGAATTCATATCCTCTATTTGCACCTAAACACAAATGTTTTTATTTTGCTTTTTTTTAAGCATTTCACCCCTAGCAAGGCGGAAAGCCACTAACACGCAAGGCGGGAAGCCACTAGCACGCAAGGCGGGAAGCCACTAGTACGCAAGGCGGGAATCCACTAGTACGCAAGGCGGAAAGCCACTAGTACGCAAGGGGTTATAGAGGATTTAGAGCGAGAGCAGGTAGGAATGATAGAGGAAAGGATGAGGAGAAGGATAGTGGATAGATCAAGGCAACTGGAGATGTCAATTGACATTACATTTGAATAGATTAAAGGGAAACAGGAATAGGGAAGGGAGTTTCACAGGCGTGATGTGCGAGACATGAAGCTATTGGAGTAGTAGAGGCGGCTACATTTAACAGTTTCAACAGTGAAAGGGTGAGAGCGGGATGCCAGCCTCGTAGGACGCTTGAATTCGCGAAGTCTGGGAACCAGCGAAAGCAGCTCATCGTAGCAATTACCATGAAAGTATTTGTAAAAAAGAGAGAGGCGACGGCGTGTCTGTGAGAGAGCGACTGCAGACGAGATGCCAGATCGGGGCCAATTAT